GCAAAGCTTCTGCCGCCGCCTACCTTTAAGTTATTGCAGATTATATAACTAAAAACCTTAAATTTATATATTTATTATTTATAAATTTTATATATGAATTAATCATTAAATGTTAAAATGTTTAAATCATTGTTGAGTGTTGTAATATAGCTATATTTTTTTGTGTTGTTTTTATTAACTTTTTTAACTTTATGTGAAGTGTCTTTGAGTTTCTTGAAAAGCGCTCTATAAATAAAATGTGTTATTATTATTATTATTATTATTATTATTATACACACAGTAGGGATGGTACGATATGGGTTAGGGTTAGGGTTAACCCTAACCCTAACCCTAACCCTTATTGGGTATCGCAATAAAAAACATTACCGTGATACTCGTGAATTGGGATAATTGCGAATGTCCTTACATTCTTGACTTGAAAAAGCTGTCTAGCTCTCCAGCAAACAGTCAATATTGATTCCCTGATTTATTTTGAACAAGGGGACAAAGGGGAATCCACATCTTTCTAGTCATTTCAAAATCCTAACCCTGTCACCATGGCTGAAGACTCTGCTTACCCGTTGCATCCCCCACAAAAGAAAGTTAAACCTGATGTGTGGAAATACAGAACAGGGTATATTTGTGATAATATCATGTATCGCAATTACATTTTCACATCGTCAAATGCCCAATATACAGAATATGTAGATATCTGTATCTATGTATCTAAACATTATACAAAAGTATATTGAAAGAAACTGGGGCCCCTCTTATTTGGTGGCTCCAGGCAGTTGTCTACCTTGCCTAAGGGGAACGTCTGCCTGTGCTCACTTTGGACCCAATCTTTAACTGCATTTCTGCAGAATGAGATAAATGCACACACAAAGGAATCTCAGTTTGGCTAACACTGTATGTCAGTGCTTTCAAAATAACAACTAACATTGTTCAAATCTTCACCCGCAGTAAACGGCAAATCTTTTTTGGAGTTTGGATTCAGATTTGACAACAAAAAGTCTTGGAAATAAAACAGTTCACTGGTAAGCACGCATAATGAATCCTTCTCTTGTGTGCTTTTCAAACAGGTCCAAAGCCAGTGCCTGCCTGCTGCACACAGACCCCAGGAGCCGGTACCAGGTCCGGCTTCCTCCCAAGCTGCCAGGCATGCACTACAGTGTGGATGAACAGTGCCAGATCCTGTTTGGAACCAATGCCACTTTCTGCAATGACATGGAGGTACGACACACTCCATTTGTCCTAGAATTATAAATGTCAGAGAACATGTTTATTGTATAACCTACCCTAAAACAAGGAGATCCATTAATAATTATTAATGTCCAAAACAGGACATGGGCGTATTTGCTGGCAAGGGAAAAAAGTGCTGAGTGCTTGTGACTTAAACATTCTGGTTAGATGTTCTTCCAGTTCAGCCATGTAAGGGATTCCCCACTGGGACACTACTGGTAGGCCTTGTTGATTTAGCAGAGTCTGCTCTGATCTGCAGTTGTGGTGGGGAGCAGGTTAAAAACAAAACAATAATGAATACATTCTCAAAAGCAACTACCTTCAGACCTTCTGCACAGACAATCAGGTGACTGAACTACCAAGAAATGCAAAACTTGAAAGATTACAAAAATCCAAAACCTTGCAGGCTCTGTCCTTGCTGACTGTATGTTGTCAGCAACTATAACCAGGCTTTACAGTGACTAGACAACTGAAAGTACATATGCTGTCTTTACTGTGTTGTTGTTAAGGAGATACACAAAGACAGCCATGGAGAAACATCAAGAAAAAACCAGCAGGCAGAGAGAGAGAGTGTATCTGACTCATGTATTCCCCTTCCTTCATGGAGATGTAGTGTCCATGTCATATTTATTGACCCACTGCATCTGTTGCTGTAATGGTCATTGTGTTTATCTGCTGACAGAGCTGACACCGTAGGAGATGTCATTAGTAACGCTGACAAACAAGCTAACAGTCCCAGCTGTTTTATTTAAAGGAGGACATTCCCTTTCTTTTTTTACAGTTTACTTTAGAACTTTCACTTTCACTGCGGTACTAATGGACCACTAAGCACATGCGTTTTTTCGATTACATTACTTATGATCAAAAATTAGCGAGTAGACAACTTTGCTAACACTTTGCTAAACTTTGCTAAATGTATTTAGCTATACTCTATAAGAATCCATCTTAACATAGTAATCAATTACATGTGTAACTGTGTAGCCAATACATCTATGATAATCCTTCAATAAGCAGTTAAAAAATATAGCATCAATATAGTGATAACTATTTTAGCCAAAAATTACACTTTAACACTATTAAATTCCTTCAAAAGCGTATGAGTCTGGACAGACATGGACGTAAACTGCAACTTGAATGGTTGGCGGAGGCATACAACCGCGGGGCAGTAACTTTAGCTTAGTATAATAAGTGAGGGAGTCCAGGCTTCCCTTGGTTCCTGAGAAAAATCCCCACTGTACTTTCGGGGGCCCACTAGGGAGTCCAGGCTTGTTGCTGTTCCCCCATTAACAATACAACTGTTGAATCAAACTGTGATACAAAGCAGCTATATCAACAGGCTCCAGTGGACTATCCACATCTGAAAAAATTGCTCTTAGGATGTTTCTGAGCACTTTAGCGTGTTAAAAGAAAACGGGGGCTATTGGCTCGGAAGAGAGAAGAAGTAAAAGAGGATGAAAAGAGGAATGGATCAAGGAGCAGAGCGAGAGGGTAAATCAATTATCCAGTCAACAGCATGCGATAGGCTCTTGAGTCACTTTGATTGGATTACTGTACATCAAAGTTGACTGGGAACGGGTCATATGAGCTTTCATAGGAGGCACATAGCTCAAGTAAACTGACAACTTAAAGCAGGAAGCACTTTGTGTACACAGTGAAACTAACAGTGTCTTCTTATGTCAGCAGAGGTTCTTCAAAGCAAGAGCAAGCAGAGGATCACAGTTGATTTTCCTCTGCTCTTTTGGGTTGTACCCAAAGCTGCTTTTCTTTTTTTTTGGGGGGGGGCTGATGAAAAAAAAAAAAACTCATCCATAAATTGCACTCAGGGTGTTTGTTAAGGGCTGCTATGGTAGAACGGACAAAAAAATTGTCAGACAAGTAATATAAAAAGTGGACTGAAGGGTTGATCAATTTCATTTGTTATGGTGAGAGTTGTGTGTGTAATGACTTCACACCAGGAATGCTACATAAATGGGGACTGACAGAAGAGGTGGGAGTCCCTTACATGGCAGAACAGCCAGAACATCTTCAAGTTGATTCCTGCTCAATTTTCTGGGTGAAAAAATGCATTGTGCTAATGTTATTATAATTTACCCTCTGTAATGGACGTGCTGTGGCAGTGGCACTCGTGCAAGTGTAATATACATGGAATCCCTGTAATTTAAGCCCATGTTGTATAGAAAGCTGTTTCAGCATACTGCTGGGGTTTCCACCCTCATTGGCGGCTGTGGCTCAGAGGCAGAGCGGGTCGTCCCCCAATCAGAATCCTCCTGCCACGTGTCGAAGTATCCTTGAGCAAGATACTGAACCCCAAATTGCTCCCGATGCATAGCATCGGTGTGTGAGTTAGTTTCTGAATGAG